AAAATTCAGATTAATCATCCCCATTCTCAGTTTAGGCCAGTGATTCCACACAGCCTTCATTTGTCACTAATACATGTCACAAATTTGATGTATTTATGGCCAAAGATTTGAAAACACAAGTACAAGCAGAGGCTTACCGTAATGTGTGTCTTTTTTCTGGTATCTTTAGGAAATCCAAGTATATCCTGATGGTATGTTGGCTTGCTAACCATAAGGATTTTGTATCAGATTTGCTAAAGAGGCCAGGCTCCTGAGCTGCTCACAATATGTAGTCTCATCTCTGTTTGTCTTGATTGGTTAAAATGCTTGGAATGGAAAGATTGCAGTGTAAACATTACGAAGAAAGAAAGAAACGTTGCTGAGCCTGTTTGATTACAAGTTCTACAGCAACCTTCCAAGTAGCACGCCACATAGAAATTATTGGTTCTTATTGAGAAATGTGTTCATTATGTTTCTTGTACAAACTAGTTTACTTTGGCTGCAGAGCGACAGTATACATGTTTACCTTGAAGTATCACTTCTGACATTTGGAAGATTGTGTCACATAAGATTAAAAGCATCCCGGCAACAAACTACAATACAAAAATTTTAGATTACTTAATTTAGGGGGGAATATTACAGCACACTGTATTTAGATACAGCCAAAATATGTGAGTCATTCCCACAAACATTTAAAGATTGTGCAAATTCACCTTGATAAAGAAATTAATTGAATCCTCGTTAGTAAGCAATCGTCAATCGTCAATTTCGAATTCCAATACATTCATGCATATCTACAGCTTGTCTTTTTGTTTTAATAAAAACAAAAATAGCAAAAAAAGTAATAGAAAACGGGTTTATAACCCAATTACACAGATTATAAACTTCTAAGATAGCAAATCCTAAATAGCTGAAATGAAACCTCCCTGAGCTGACATGACATTGCCTGCATCTGTCCTGAATCCAGCCTGGAAGACAATGGTGAGCATTTTGCAATTTCCATTGGATTCAGTGCATTGGAAATTATCATCACTCTCAGCCTTGGCTAATTTTGTGCCAACATTTTGGGATCTATCTCTCTAGCCTATTATACCATAGAACCGTGCATCATCTTTGCTCTACTCATTATCCGCTCTTTTCTGCTTTTGCAGGCAACTCAGAATGATTTCAATTGGTAGATTAAATAATGGAAAGGACAGAAATTGTCACTTACTGTTTGTGATGGCTGCTTAGAATATACATTTTACACAAGAGTTAGAGTCACCATGGGCTTATCAGAGGAGGAAGAAAAGGCCTAGATAAATGGATAAACAGATAAAAACAGGACCGATTGGTCTATTCATCCATCCAAAGTATCACTACTCTTAGATTCCATATATAAGATGTGTTTTAACATCTACAAAAACTTTGCTGATTAGCAATATGTCCACATCATTGCCATAAGATGGGGCAAGCTTCCCCAAACTGGCACTTTCAGATACATTGCATCTGCAGCTTCAAGTATTCTTTACTCTTGTGGGCAATTGGCAGTCTATATGTCTCATTATTATTGAGAAATCACTGTTTTTCCCCTTTATTCTGCCTTATTTCCTGTTGCCTTGCAAGATAGAACCACAAAGACAAAACTCTCCAACTACTTATACACAGTACTTATATTCTTTACTCAGAGAAGTTTCCATGATGTCTTCTTGTCCTGACAAGCTCTTTCTGACAGAACAGGAGGAAATATATTCACATTTTTCTTGTTACTCCCAGTTTTTCAATGGTTTTCTCTGTACCAATCCTGCTAGAATCTTGATGCAAAACAAGGAGTGTTCTGTATCTGTCAGAACTAAGATTTAGGGTATCCCTGGTTCTTTTACCAGAATGTGTTTTTTTTCAAAATCCTTCCTTTTGTTGGAATGTTGACCTTAAATGCTTCAATAGGATTTGAGGAGTCTGCCCCCTCTAATAAAAATGCCTTTTAACAGTTTACAATATAAAATAAAAGCATATAATAAATATTCAAAAAAAGTAACAATATCCCTGGGAGAGGGATATTCCATAAGGGGGAGGGGGAGAAGAATTTAGTCTCCAGGCTCCCATCCCCACATCAAACAAATGTAGCGGACTTTGAACTTCCCCATCTGAGATCAGAATTGTTCCAGATGGAAAAGGCAGTCCCGAACATACTTTGGAGCCCAGCCATGCATGATCATGATGACTGCCAATCACTCCACTTTGGGCAGCTTACAAAATCCCAATGTAGTACATACAATTAAAAATGTACAATACAGTCTACAACAGCAATAACAAAATAACATAACAGGCCTCCCAAAAATATATCAACTCCAGGCCTAGGGCTAAAGTCTAACCTTAAGGGCTTTCCAGAACCCCAAGAAGAGTAGGCACCATCCATTTGGAGATAATGTTTCAAATGCCAATGACTGTGACAGAGAAGGCATGCTTCCTCAGATTTAATAGTGGGGACTCAGAGTCCCTGGAGTCACGTATTCCACCAGAGCATTCTAGACGGATAAAACAATTGAAGATAGGCTGTCCCTCAGATAGGACCTATGTCATAAAGAGCTTTATGGGTAACAACCAACAATCTGAATTGCACCTAGCAGCCAACCAATGCAGTTTGCATAGCAGCAAGGACAGATGGGCATACTGAAAACTGATGCAGCATTTTAAACCAGCTGCAGCTTCTGGGTGGTCTTCAAAAGCAGCCCCATGTACACTGCAATAATCCAGTTGTGAAGTGATGAGGACATCAATAAATATCCGAAGGACTTTCCAATTCAGGAAAAGGTGAAGGGGTACACAAGATGAACCTGTGTGAAGATCCTCCTGGCCTCAGCTGTCACTTGCTCTTTAAGCAATAGCTGAAAGTGCAGAAGTAACCAGTGTCTCCCACTCCCAATTCCACAGCCAGTCAGAAGGATACTGTGGACAATGCTATCGAAAGCCACTGAGAGATCAAGAAGCACAAGCAGTGAGGCACTGCATTATCTCAGCTCCACCAAACATTATCAATAAGAGCAATAAATGCTGTCTCCATACTATATCCCAATCTGAAACATGACTGAAACATGTGCAAGTGTAGAGCTTAAATCAATCCCAGCACTTTGAAATGTGCCTAGAAACATATCAGAACCAGTATAGCATCTGCGATGTTGGTGTTATAGGCCTGTAGTGATTGTACCAAATGTACAGTATTTTCTAGGTAGTTTTTTCAAAGGCTGGCTATAGTGCATGGCTATAGTCTAAACTTGTAATAATTATGACATGTGTTACCATTGCCAGGTCTTCCTGTTCCAGACAAGACCATTAACTTGGGTGAAGGTTCTATTAGACATAGTCTCTGTAGAAGCCAATAGTATCAGTGAGTTCAAGAGAAACCTGTATTTGTGGAATTCTTCAAGGGAGGTGGCATCCCATTCAGCATTAAAAACACAACAGAAAGTTAGGTGTTTATGGACAAACAGTAATTCTATCTTGCCAGATTTCACCTTCAGTCTATTTTTTTAATCCATCCAGGCTTGCCCAGCCTCCATATATTAAGTCAAGGTCTCTATGGCAGAGATATATTGTATAACTAATAACAACTTGTCAAAACAGAATCTTCCCATACAGTGCAGAAACATCTAGTGAGAGCCTGTTGAACCATACTTCCTTGTGAAGGACATTGGTTGAGAATCAGGTGACAGTGGTGGCCTTCTCAGTGGTGGCCTTCAATCAATAGGACATATTGTTCCCAGAAGAATGAGTGGTTTCAATCCTCATCGCATTCCAGAAGCAAGTTAAATTAGTATTCTTCTATTAGGCTTTCAGTTTCTAGTTATATCTGAGTGACCATCACAGATAGTTTCTTATTACTATTGACGGCTCTAATTATATAGTGGAACTGTTGCTGCCATCCTGAGTCCATATAGATCAGGCAGCTTTTAAATACTGTTAGTAAATAAATGATGGTGCCTGAATCTGAAATGACCTCTCCTAGTTATTTCATGTGGTTGTTAAAAAACAGACTTTGGACTCTGCAGTAGCATCCATTACACTGACCTGTCGTCTCTCCACCAATTGGAACCATCTACTTAGAAAGGAGAAGAACCAAATTAGTATTCCTCATCATTAATGCTAGTAGGCAGTAAGTAGATAATATAGAATGGCACTGTGAAGTTTAATAAGACCAAAGAGTGCTCCACCCCTCCCATCAAGATCCCCAAATCAATCACAAGAATATCCCTCAGTGAGTTCTGAACCCTGACTGAAAGGGCTTCAGATAACCTGCTTCTATTAGGGGACTAGTCAGAATGGCACTTGATCATCTTTTCAAGAACCTTTCCCAAGATTGGAAAGTTGGAAGGTCTATCAGCTTTGTAATTAGGGAAAAAAAGAAAGGAAGGAAGGAAGGAAGGAAGGAAGGAAATAAAGAAAGAAAGAAAGAAAGAAAGAAAGAAAGAAAGAAAGAAAGAAAGAAAGAAAGAAAGAAAGAAGGGAAGGAGGGAGGGAGGGAGGGAGGGAGGGAGGGAAGGGAAGGGAGGAAGACTTTTCTACAGATAGTTACAATGAATTTGCAGTCAAACCCACTTTAACTATCTATATCAGGGGTCTTCAAACTTGGCCCTTTTATGACTTGTGGACTTCAACTCCCAGAATTCCTCAACCAGGCACGCTGACTGAGGAATTCTTGGAGTTGAAGTCCACAAGTCATAAAAGGCCAAGTTTGAAGACCCCTGATCTATATACTTGTTAAACCAAACCCAGAACATAAATTAAATTGCAAATTCATCTCCACCAGTTTTGCTTCCTTTTTTTTCTAATGAACACAAGGAAGGCAAAGTAAGAAAGTGTCACACTCAAAAAAAAAGTTTACATTTTATTTTTGATGTTCCTCATTCAAAACATTCCTCTCGTTACACAATCAACTGGATTACATAAAGACATTTCACAGCAGTAACAACCCTTTCATATTCTCAAACTCTCACAGAGCTGTAAAAACTGTTTAGAGAATGTTTTTTCAGACACTTCTATCAATGTGGCTTTTTGTGCTTAATCAAGATCAAACAGTAACTTCTTACACATTTAACAAGTGTGAGATCCATAACAACTTTGGGAACAAAACAAAAGTTCTGTGCTACAATCAGAAATTGTTAGAAGTCCCAACCTATCTACCAACTAAACTTGTGTTTTTGGATTTATCTCAGAACAGTATATCAAGTCTGGGGAAGAATGACTTCAAGAACTTCAGCCATTTGCAATCTCTCAACATTTCCCAGAATAATATAAGTAAAATTGAGGATGGTACTTTTATTCATACAAGCCACTTGGAGTTTTTGAACCTTAGTGCAAATCAGCTGCAGCTTCTCTCCAGTTTTATGTTTGACGGGCTCATGAATCTTACCACCTTACTGCTTTCCAGCAATAAAATATACAGGATCAATCCTTCTGCCTTTGCCCACTTGGAGAATTTAAAGGTAATTGATTTATCTTCAAACAAATTGTATACCCTGAGTGCTATGCATGCTGTCTTAAATATGGGATCTTTAAGAGAGTTGCACATCAAAGACAATGGCTTGCAAAACTTAACAACCGAAGAAATTATCAGTGTTCCTCCATTTCTTGAGCTGGATGTATCCCACAATCCTATTTCCCTCATTAATATTACAACGCCAGTTTTGCACAGACTTTTTTCGCTTGATTTATCTTTTGCCATTGCCAATGACTCTGTTTTATGGGAAATAGAAGATTCTTGCTTTCTAGGAGGCTTAAAGGCTTTTTACTTAGGAGGGATAGCAATGAAGCCATCTGAAATATCAAAAGTGATCCAAATGCTGAATTGTTCTCAGTTAGAGATTATCCACCTAAACCAGTTAAATATAACTGAATCAGATAATCTTATAGAAAAGATATGCCAATGGCAGCAGCAAGTGCAAAGTCTTAACTTTCAAGGCAATAAGTTCACAAGCATTAAGGCAGCGGCTTTTAAAAATTGCACAAATTTAAAGTTTTTGAATATGTCATTTAATAAGTTGGGATGCCTACCTTTTCGATCACTGAATTTGTTACATTCCATTTCTTGGACAAACAACATATCCACTCCTGTACCAATTATTACTCCTAATGTATCATTATTAGAAAGCCTAGATCTTAGCTTTAATGAAATCAAAAAAATTACTTCTGAAGACTTCAGATATTTAAATAATTTGAAGACCTTTTGCATCAATGGAAACCAGATTGATTTTGTCTCTTCACATAACTTTGATAATCTAAGCAATTTGCAAGAACTAAATCTAGGGCAAAATTCTTTAAAAGCAATCACACAACCTTTCTCAGGAAGCCTAAATAAACTGGAAGTGTTGGTGCTCAGGCAAAATGATTTGGAAACCATAGAGAAGGGCATTTTTAAGCATCTTTCTTCTCTTCAGCTTCTTAATCTGGCAGACAATAAGATTGACACAATAGTACCAGGAGCCTTTGAAGGTCTGAGCAATCTACAGATTCTTATTCTTGGATATAACAGGATCGGTAAAAAACCTTTTCGGGGAGACATTTTTCAAGGTGCAAGCTCTTTAGCAGACCTTGATCTTTTTAATAATCGTATCAGCTATGAATCCTCAAAAATGCTTGCCAATCCACCCTTTAAACTTTTGAGGTCTTTAAAGAAACTAAAAATAAACAGCCAGGGTGGTAATGGACTTAAGTATTTTCCAGTGAATTTTTTAGACGGTTTGGAGTCCATTGTACAGCTCCACGCAGGCAATTTAGCCATTTCTTTTTTAGAGCAAGAGACATTTAACTTTACTCCTACTCTTCAAGAGCTTGATTTGAGCAATAATAACCTTAATTCACTAAGCAATACTTTATTCCAGCCTATATCAAAGCTGAAAGAATTGCACCTGAATAGAAATAAGCTGACATCTCTCAATTTTTTTCTCAATGCCAATCTTTCAAGACTGACTCTCTTCAGAGCAACTGAAAATTTTCTAGATGTTATCACTGAAGAGCAATTAAGCACGTTACCTTCCCTTCTTTTCCTAGATCTCAGGCAAAATATTTTCACCTGTGCATGTAGCAACCAAATGTTTCTCCAGTGGTCATTACGGAACCCTAAAACTCAGGTGCTCCATTTCTATGAATATATTTGCGCTTTCCCTCAAGCATATAAGGGAAACCCACTGTGGACTTTTAACACATCCTCTTGCTTTATTTATTATGAATTGATCCTGTTTATTGCAAACACAACAGCAGTTTTTTCACTTATGCTTGTCTGCTTCTTTTATCAATGTAAATTGCACCTGGTCTATATGTTCCATCTATTGCTTGCTTATTATATTGAGAAGAAACAAAAAAGGAAGGGGCAAGGTACGGGATACGATTATGATGCATTTCTTTCCTTCAACATCCATGATGAAAAGTGGGTAGTGGATGACCTGCTTCCAGTTCTGGAAAACCAATATTGTTGGAAAGTTTGTTTGCATCAACGGGATTTTGAGCCAGGACGGCCCGTCCTTGAAAACATCGTAGATAATATCTACGCCAGCAGGAAGACTATTTGTGTAATAAGTCGCCACTATCTGGAAAGCGAGTGGTGCTCCAAGGAGATACAAGTAGCAAGCTTTCGCATCTTTGATGACCGTAAGGATGTCCTGGTTCTTATCTTCCTGGAAGACATTCCTGCTGAATACCTTTCCCCCTATCACAGAATGAGAAAATTGCTAAAGACAAAAACTTACCTCAAATGGCCAGAAGATAAGCGGGAAATTCCATTGTTTTGGCACAAGCTCAATATGGCTATGAAGACAGGAGATGGAAAAGAGGAGGAAAATCCTCTTTTGGCTGGATTTGTTCCTGATGAAATTCCAGAAAGACCCCATTACTCATAAAGAACAGCTACAGTATGCTTCATCAACACATCTCTTTACAAATTATCATTATAGGTAGTCCTCAGCTTATTACCACAATTGAGCCTAAAATTTCTGATGCTAAGCGAAACATTTGTTAAGTAAATGTTGTGCATTTTACGACCCTTCTTGTCACCGTTACTAAGTGAATCATTGCAGTGGTTAAGTTAGTCACACGGTTGTTCAGCGAATATGGCTTCCCCATTGACTTTGCTTGTCAGAAGGTCGCTAAAGGGGATCACATGACCCTGAGACACTGCAACCGTCACAAGTATGAGTCAGTTGCCAAGCGTCTGGATTTTGATCGTGTGACCATGGGGATGCTGCAAGGGTCGTAAGTGTGAAAAATGGTCAGAAGCCACTTTTTTCACTGGTGTAACTTCGAATGGTCGCTAAATGAACTGTTGCAAGTCGAGGACTACCCGTACAAACTTTCCTGTTATTTGTCATTGCTTCTTATGCAGGTTTTTTTTTCTTTCATTGAGAATTCACAGAAAAGCGGAATTTTAAGAAACGTTTGTTTTCTTCATGCTTTCATGTTGAGCTTTTCATGCTGATCTATTGCTTTACTGTGTATATCTGTGAACAGGAAATGTTACATCTAAAAACTAAATTTACAATCTGTTTCTAGCATTTTTATCTAGAAGTGAGGGCAACTATATTCAATGGGTTTTAATCTCATGGAACGTTAAACAGACTTGGACAGTTTTCAGCAAACTTACTGGCCATACATTTTATTAAAGTCAGTGGTATTTACTTCTACATCAAATGATTTTACTGAACATCTCCAAGAAAGACAGTAAAGAAAGGAGGCCTTTATTGCACTGATTGTATGATTATGTGTGGCAGTCAGAATTCTGACTTGATGGTAATATAATTCTACACTAAAGACAATACAGTCCTATGTTCATCTGAATTGGGTGGGATGGCAGCCAGAGAGATGCAAAACAGCAAATAACAGAGCTAAAATGGGAATAACTATGATGTCTAATTAAATACAATATTGAGAATTCAAGTATAAAATTATCACTCTTTCTGTCCCAAAATATATTAAGGACAATAGACAACATACTGTAGATTTAAGCTTGTAAACAGTGTAACTTGAATTTTTTTTAAAATGTATATTGAGAAGTCAATAGAAACCATTAATGTAGTAGTTGGTTTGGAGAATTTGTTCAGGAGTTTTGAATCTAATGATAATTATTGAGACCTATTTCTAATTTGAATTTATTAAACCAACAGAAACTTAATATTTTCAGAGGATTTAGTATCTGCAATGCATATCTGCCATCTCTATTTAGGACTCTTTTGGAGAACAAAGCTGTCTGTAATGATTAGAAAACTGTCAAATTAAAGCATACTTTTTAAAACAAAAATGTGATTAAAAATTACGTCTGTGAGGTAAACTTATCCAGCATCTTCTTACTTATTCATACATTTTGTATTTCCATAAATTTTGTAATATGTGTTGTTTTCAAATTATATAAAAGTGGTCAAGTGGAACCTTATGTAAATCTTATGTGAATTTTGACTATGCTTTTTGGATGACTCTAGAGCAATGTGAAACTTCATTTATCCTAATGTTGTATATAAAAGTGTTGTTTCCTTTTGCATGTTTGATTTTGTTTTCTTGCTTTTCTCTAATCATACATTTGTTTAATAGACGTATTCCTATAGTTCAGAACTGTAATTTGGATATTCAATCTAAAACTCTCAAGAACAATTTAGCTGTCCTCCTGACTAATTTTCTTGTAAACATGTGCACACCTATACTTAGTTGCATCTAAGGAAAAGTGGTTGGAAGCAATATGATTGTTTCTTACTTAGTATAATTAAGTATCTTGTAGAGAAAAGGATAACAGATAACCAATTATTGATTTCCATGCTGGCGCTACTCACAAGGAAGCTGGAGAACAGATGAAAAGCGTTCTTCTATTAAATGGAGTACTGTATAATTAGATGCAACTCAGTATTTTGCTTGGAAATATACCCACCTCTCCAGAAAATAAGGCTAAGTTAAGATAGAGTGGTAAATAGTAGCATTGGAGGGAGATTCAAGGTAGCATTACGTGGGATGGTGAGGGGCAAGTTGGCCAGTTTGATCTGTGACTAATTCCACCTTCCATAATAGTCATGTTATGACTGACTAATCTTTTCCACATGCATAAAAGCCATTTTATGAGAGTTCTCAATACATGTTCCCAAACTCAGATGTGCTCCTCATCCCAAAATGTTTGCCTACTAGAGTGCAGGAAAAGAGAGGTAAGGTAAGTGAGCTATAAGCAATGAAAGAATACCTTTAGCACTGCAATTTATCTAACCAATTCTGTCATAGTTCATCCAATTCTCCCCTGTACTTTAGCACAGAGGTCCTCAGCCCCCCTCCCCGAGGTCCGCAAAGCTCCATCCTCTGAATGCAGGCAGTATTCAAAACCACACCCCCTCTAGTCCGTGGAAAAAACTTTCTGTATGGCACTGGTCCTGGTGCCCAAAAGGTTGGGGACCTCTGCTTTAGCAGATTCTGATTTGACCCTGAACAATACAAAACCTTTGCTATAACTACAGATACAAATGCAGTACAGAGTCCTGATCTAACTTTAGAGAAAGAAGTTGATTTATATTGTAAATCAAAATACAGATTGTTGTATTTTTTTTTCTTTTCTACTTTTCTTCCTCCCCCCCCCTTATTCAAAGAAAAATCACTTTTATACAATTTTGGTTACTTCACGCGAGTTTGGGAAGCACTGTGTTAAAGCATAAACTTCAGCTGACAAACCAAAATGTCTAGATCCAGACAATGCTCTAAACCAGGGGTCTTCAAACTTGGCCCTTTTATGACTCGTGGACTTCACCTCCCAGAATTCCTCAGCCAGGGACGCTGGCTTTTGCCTTGGTTACAGTCCATAAAACTTGTGTAACCAAGGCAAAACAGCTGTAAATGAAAAGCAGTGAAGAGAAATATATTCCACATTTTTTCATGTCTAATGGTAGTCTTCAAACTTTCCCCATGTTGGGTTTAGTGAGAGATGGATTATAACTCTAGATGCAGAGTTGCAGCACATCTGAAGTTTGTATTTCTATTATATTAAATCTTAAATTCCTCAGAAATTACTATAGTTCAAAGTTTCACCTTACGGTTTGTTCTGCTGTTATTAATGGATATTCAGATATTACTTAGATTTTAACATCTGTAGTTTTAAAACAATATAGTATATTCAGTTACTTTAAAAAATCAATGAAAGATTGAACACTTTAGCTTAATTTCATGTTCCTTATTTGTACTCTATTTTCCCTTTTTCCTCTCTTGTTCATTTTCTCTTTTCCATAAAAATTTAATAAAAACATTATGAAAAAGCAATAACTCTATGATCCACAAGCCAAAGCCTCAATATATGTAAAGGTTGGAATTTTTTAGCTTATTTAGAAATGATACCTCATTTTGAATTAACACACATTTCTAACTCTGAAATAATATTGTCTTAAGGGAAAAAAGCAAAGCTATGCAATTATTTTTTTTGAGGTTTCAGCAGCTTTGTAGCAGGGATAGAAAGGTCTATTACTGGAGGCTTTTAAGAAGAGACTGGACAGCCATTTGTCTGGAATGGTATAGGGTCTCCTGCTTGAACAGGGTGTTGGACTAGAAAACTTCCAAAGTCCCTTCCAGCTCTGTTATTCTGTTATTATCTGTTTTTTTGTTTTTTTTGTTTTGTAATAGCAATCACCTACCAACATAAGATTTAAACAATAATGCAGGTATCCATTAGGTGGCAGTATTATTATATAACATTGTAAATTTACAGCCAGAATGTGGGCCTTTGCTCTTCCACACCATATAAGGTCTACCTACAAACCAAAGAGATGGAGACCAGTTTTTCCTGATTCTGCAAGCAGATATGAGTCAAGTTAAAACAGCTCCCAAACAGCCCAAATCTCATAAAGAGCATTCATAAAGAGAGATAGGAAGGGCTTTGTTTGCTTTTTTTAATTACTGAAGACCCGTACATAATGATCCAAGGAATAAACAAACTAACACAAAATATCTTTTGACTTCATCATGACTCTTTTTTTTTTTAATTAGAAACATCCACTATCCCTGGAACCTTTTTTCAGATAGCTCTTCACAGATATAATTGATTCTTGTGTCAGCAGTATTTTGCAGCTTAAGGGAAATTTAGTAGAGGTATGAAGCAAAAGGAGGCTCAAATATACAAAAAAGAACTAAAAAGCAGGCAATTTTCTGAACACAGCAAGAGAATAGCTTTGGAAAAACAACAGGAAACTCTTCAAAAAAGAAAATAAGCAGCATGGGCGTGAACGCATCAGGTTCACAAAGCACTGCTAAATTAGAGCAGCTTAAAGTCATCCAATAGAATGCATGAAAAATGTCTCCCAAAAAATGCTGCATACATATTGCAAGAGAAATTTAGAACAGCCAGGAGTTGAACAAGAAGAGGAGGGGGATTTAATTACGCTGGCCTGGATGGGCCACAATGTATAATGTTATTTTAATACTAAGTGCTAAGAAAACCAAGAAGGGAAAATATCACTCATAGAGTTCAAAAATAGTAGTGAATTAGAGGTGCTAAATGTAACTTGATGTGGGTGTGTTTTAAAAACAACTACAGGTAGGCCTCAACTATATAAATTTAATAAATAAAAACTTACAACAATTCAGTTAGTAACTATTCAAAGTTACGTCAATGAAAAAAAAGTGACTTATGACCGTTTTTACACTTACAGCCGTTGCAGCATCCCCAGGATCATGTGGTCAGAATTCAGTCCCTTGGCAACTGGTTCATATTTATGACGGTTGCAGTGTCCCAGGGTCACGTGATCACCTTTTGCGACCCTCTGACAAGCAAAGTCAATGGGGAAGCCAGATTCACTTAAACAACCGTGTTACTAACTTTACAACTGCAGTGATTCACTTAACAACTGTAGCAAGAAAGGTCGTAAAGTGGGGCAAAATTCACTTAACTGTC